AAATTGTGAAATTTGGGGAAATGCTTGTTCTAACAGGCACTCATATCTGGAAATGGTTCAGATAAACAATAAGCAAGTCCACTTCCTAACTTCCACTTACATACACATTATGGAAGTAACTGTAAATAATTCAGAATTATCAATGTGTTCAACTCTTTAAAGCCCAGTGGTAAACAACATGTACCAATTTGTATAACTATCAATAAAGCAAAGCTGTCCCATTACATGTTACATGACATGAAAGCTAATAAGGGAGAAAAGGTATAGCTCTTATTCATTCTTGACCTCAGCACTAGATTGGGATTAGTGATCAGCACCACACACCAGGGACAGGAGCCTGAGAGCACCACAGACATATGACTTTTAAGAAGGAAATAGAATATAAATCAAACCCCATTTAAAAAAACATAAAATATTTTAATTAATTCTCCCTCAAGTACCACAAAGACTTCAATGTGGATACTGTCGCACATTGCTGCCAGTCTTGCAAAAAAGAAATTCTGTGTAGAGATGGGAGAGAAACAGAGGCCAAAACAGACAGCGTGAATCGCTCACGGCTATATTCATCAGAATACAATTGGAATAGTTGTGAAAAACCACTGGGCTATTGCTTGTTTGTTAGGCCAATTACAATGTTATCGAAACATAGTGTAAACCCTCTCACATAAAAATTCAATTCACTTTATACATTTCACATCTTGCTTTACTCAGGAACTGCTTCTTATTTTTACTTTAAACTTACTCCACGAAACCACAATTTAACTAGGTATAAATAATGTCAACTTACCCTGTAGCACATACGGAACCATCTATCTGGTATGAGATACAATAGATTGGCTTGCAGTGACCTTCTTGATGCAGAACTTCTTGGCGCTGTTCTAAATCCCATAACCTCCAAGATCCATCAAAACAACATGTACCCAAAAATCGTCCGGAGGGATGGAAAGCAAGTCGAGATACTCGATGAGGAGAATGACCTTCAACATCTGCCAGTGGGTCTTCACTGGAAAGCATCCAAGTTGGCATTCATAACAATGACACATATGGATGTCAGTCAGAGGAATGAAATATTACCATCACTCGAATTAAAACGAAATTAATTTATTGGAATACAGACACTCAATTACCCACAGTAACAGGGCAGAACAGTCACAGGTAACTCTGAACAGCAGATACATGAACAGGACAACTTTTTGGACAGTCTGATTCAAATCTTTAAAATAGGCCCCTTTTCTTCTATCTCCCACATGAATAGTGACCATAACCATACTGTCAAATTTTAAATGCCTGAAGTTCACTACGATGCTACAGCATAAACGCAGAATACACAAATCCTGAAGTTCATCAAACATATGCAAAATAAAACCTCCACAGAGAGAAATTTGCATGAATTCAGTGCTCGATAGTAGCAAACTACAGCGTTCATCTGTTCACAGATGAACTTGCACCATGAAGTTAGTAATGCTGAACAGATTAAAAATTATACATCAATTACTAAGTTATTTACCATCCATTCATACCTTTCCATAGTCCACAGTTTGACAGAACCATCAGCAGCACATGAAGCAAGGGCACATACAGATGTTTCTCCTTCTTGCATTGCACGAGGATGAAAGACTATAGCTCCTACATTGCAAGAATGTCCTCTTAAAGTCAATGTAAGCTCACAGTTCGGAACTGTCCACACTTTACACAGTCCACTCCTAAACACAAAGTGTTATTTTTAGAATGTGATCCAAAAGAGCTTGCAATCTAGCAAAGATCTGAAATGGATACCTCAAAATTACAAATCAAACTGTATTTCTATGTCACCTCATTTAGTAAAAAAAGATTCCACTGTACACTAATTCCAACCAACTGAAATAAAACAATCCCCACTGTAAATCATGTTTCAATATCTCTTAGTGTTTGAGCTTGGGAAAAATGTCTGATGTTATATGCCAACTGAAATCACATGAATGATAAGCTTTGTACTTAATCTTCTTGCCTATAAATGTAAGATAATAATTACCATGAAGCTGTGGCCAGAAACTTAGAGTCAGGACTAAACTGACAATATGAAATTGGTCTTGTGTCTCCAATCTGACTGCAATAGATTGATAAAGCTTGAAGTTTCTTTTGTAACTCCTGTCTTCTGGCTGTACGTGTAGCCTCGGGAAGCTCCTGCTCTTTATGTGCCTCATCCAAGCGTTGTTTTGCACGAGGTAATGAATAATCTGAAGGAAAAAAAACCCCACAGGCCCCTGTACAAACCCATAAATACATCTCTTTTCAGAATTTGATTGTAAGGTATTTCACAAATTATAATGGTATGAATAGCAAATAGGAAATACCTCTCTTTTCACACTAAAAATCTGAAACAATAAAAGTGCATGTTCATACAGTATTACGAACCAAAACTGTATTACATTCATTGTTAAGGAATAAGATCTCATTTTGTACATGTGCAAAATCATCAGTAATGTCATGGACTAAAGCCATTACATCATTACATACAGAATGATTGAAATGGTTAGGGCCAAACTGAAGGAGCATATATAGGGACTCGGAGAGAACAACTTTCAGATAGGAATCCATGTCCTCCGAAGTTATCCTGAGTCAGTCACGAGACTACAAAAGCAGCAATACACCAGTCACTATCAACTCACAAACACAATGTAAGCAGCCCAGGGGCCTGTGTAGAATCTGACGGGATAC